GTTCCTGATGCTGCACAACTCTCATACAATTTTGAGATGTGAGCTATAACATCGAAACTTGTTGGCTCAACAGCCGAGGGAGGGTTTTTGACGAATCCGTGGCAGTAGACAGTGCAGCTGAGATACTAGTGTTGGGTTTCGTAGCATCCACAGCTCTGTCAGCCGCTTCCGCCAGCTCTATTAAGGGACACTTATGGAAGGGTGCGAGGATCCCTTGAACCGACTGTGGTAACCTCTGTAACCACAGTTGCTTGAGAAATGCTTCATCAATGTTGAAGTCAGCAATCAGCTGCTTCATCTGACGAAGCAGTTGCGTCGGCTTGCGATCACCCAGATGCACATCCCTGAAAAGTTCTTGCACTTTCTGCTGGTCAGTAAGTGCAACACGTTTGATGAGGGCGGTTTTGAGGCGATCGTAAAGATTCGGTGCTGGGTCATCTAGCACATCTGAGACGTCTTCAATCACATTTTCCGGTAAGCTGACGATGACTAAGTTGGACTTAGTTTCTTGTGATTGAATGTGTCTCAAGGCAAACTGAGCTTCCACATGGGAGAACCATGCAGATGGTCTGTGGGCCCAGAAGGTGGGAAGCTGGAGGGTTACGGCCATCTGCGCAGTCGAGTCGTTATCCGCCATTGATCAGGGAATTAACGAGGCACGATAGTGATAATAAAAAAAATTACAATGCAAAAATAACCAATGAGGAGTGCAATAATATAAAAAAAAAGCTAGACGTGCCAAAAACAAAATAGGCCAGACAAATCAACGCAAGAGAACAAAGGTACTAGACAAAATAAGAAGTGATACTCGGGCTCACCAATTTTGTAGGGATGCGTGTTACAATTCCGTAACGATTGATCAACCCTACTTAATTTGATGTGCTCTAGTACCTGCTTAACCAGTACTTTACCTAACGTGTAAGTACTGGTAACAAAACACAAATCAAAAGAACTGATACGCAATGTATTTAAAGGAGCTATGTATTTAAGGTAAATGCGATAATAATGAATGAGGGAAAAGTTTAATCAACTTATCTGGCTTGTAAGGCTGAACTAGGGACTCGGAGTACGTGCGTGGTGATCAGCACAATGGAGCGCAAAAATGGCGTCCAAGCCTGCTCGGATGCATGCTCGTTAAAACAAAACTTAAAACACCCTAAGCATCCGGAGGCAAGCTAGAGATTTATTTAGTTAATTTAATTTAAACTATTTATTTTAGCCCTAGTTATATTTTGGTGCCAGGAAGGTGCACTACAGGTTGAGAAGCACTCGGTGAGTTGATGAATGAGAATGGGTAATTGTTTGCAGAATTCTATGCATTCAACGAATTGGCGATTGGAGGTGAGGCGAAGCGGTGTGTACAAACACGAGGATATTCACGAAGAGACATGGAATTGATTTCACCAGATGGACACTTTACACTAAAAATCAGATCGACTCTATCTCAATGTGAAGAAAGTGGAGACGCAGTCAGACTACTGGACGCAAGATCAAGAAGGAGAGCAGATGCAGGTTTAGACCACTCTCTTTCTAGTACAAGGAACCTTCCAAATGGAGTTGAAAGCCTTGAAAGAAGTTGATGATAGACTACAGTTGAAGTTGAACACTCAGAAACTGAAGGACGAAACTACAGAGGACATCTTCACGTCAGCCATCAGAACAAAATAGGAGGTATTGAGCAACATTCCTGAAGAAACCTGTGTGGGTGAACACTGGAACTCTTTGAAAGAGATGTGGAGGGAAATCTGCATAACCGTATTAGGAAGGAAGAAGAAGTAAGACGAGGGATGGATCTCGACGGACACATGGAAGCTGATAGAGGCGGGAGAGGAAGATGGTGAAGCAGAAGGTGAACCAGTGCAGTGCAAGGATGCACAAAGCAAAGAAGAACTGAGTACAACGTATAAAACACTACACTGGACAAAAGAAGTGGAGAAGAGTGCGCGGAAAGACACTTCTATGACACACTTCCAAGTGAAGCAGAACAGGCTGCTGTTAGGAGAGACCCGACAACATTATGTGGAAAAACCAGGTTACTATCGCTCTGAGAAGAGATCAGTGCAGGTGAAACCAATGAGAGATAGTGAAGGGAAGCTAGTTACCGAAGAGAAGAAACGAAGGGAAGGATAGACTGACCACTTCGAAAAGCTCTTGAATCGACCACCGTCACGACCTGCAACTCGTCCAGAAATACCACCAGCAGAGAGGCCACAGAACTACCAGTGAACACAGGCCCTCCGACAAAAGCAGAAGTCCTGAATGCCATAAAACTGCTGAAATTCGGGGAAGCAGCAGGACCAGATGGAATTCCGCCTAAAGTACTGAAGGCAGACGCAGAGACAACAGCGGACATGCTCACACCACACCACTACTACAGAAGGTTTTGAAAGAAGGGAAGGTACCTGCTGGTTGATTGGAAGGAGGGGTACCTTGTCAAACTCCCAAAGAAGGGAGACCTTAGTCTTTGCAAGAACTGGCGCGGAATCATACTCCTGTTCTTGTCAACTCCAAGCAAAGTATTATGCCGTATCATCTTGGAGAGACTAAAAAATTCTGTACATTCGAAATTCCGACCGGACCAGACTGGCTGGCTGGCTTCGGGAAAAACAAATCATGTGCGGATCAAATCGTAACGCTACGCTACGCATCATCATAGAACAGAGTATAGAATGGCAGTCAACTCTCTACCTCAACTTTATCGACTTTGAAAAGGCTTTCGACAGCATTATTTGGCAGGCAGCTGCTTGAACACTACGGCTTTGGTGCGACAAATCTTTATCAACCTCATTCAACAGCTATATGAGGACGCCACATGTCAAGTGATTAACAACACAATGGAAAGCTCATTGATTTGTTTGAAATGAAGACAGGAGTAAGGCAAGAGAAGGCTGCCGTCTAGTATCACCCATAATCTTCCTGACTATGGATGACTGGAACATGCAGCGAACGATGAGGAGCGAGGTGGGCATATGCTGTCTGACTGATGAAAAGAGCCTAGAAGATTTGAATTTCGCCAATGATGATTTATGTCTAATACCTTGTAGCACAAGCTCGAAGATCTACAGGCGAAAACCAACAAGCTGGTAAAAGTGGCAAGGGAGCGAAGACGGGACTTCAAGTGAATGTAGAGGAGATGGGGGTGATGAAGATACCCCACCAAAAACGACGACAACAACAACAAGCACCAATTGCAGTGAACGGGAGAAATCTAAAGGAATTAGTCTCTTTCACCACCTACCATCTTGGCAGCATTGTTTCAACTGCAGACGGTGGCGCAGACGAGGATGTCAAAACCAGGATCGGAAAGACAGCAAGACAGGCTTTCACCAGCCTGAAATCAGTTTGGAGATCTGCTGCACTCAACACAAAGAGCAAGATCCAGACTTTCAACACCAATATCAAGTCAGTGCTGCAATGTGATGATTCAGAAACTTGGCGCGTCACGAAAAGCACTTCCAACAAACTACATACATTCATCAAAAACTGTCTACGCTCGATACTGAAGATGGTGATGAGATGGCCAGAAAGAATAAGCAACAAGGAACTCACTCTGAGAACGGACCAACCAAGAACTTGTTACGCAACAAATATGCACTGGAAGAAGTTGGAGATGGATTGGGCATACACCGGGAAGGTGGACTGGGAACATCATGCGGCAGGCTGTCCAGTGGAATCCAAAGGGGAAACGGTGAGTTGGGTGTCCGTGGAGAGAGTGACATGGAGGATATCATCTGAGTAAGAAATGAGATCTTGTGGGCAACCATAGTGCCAGGTTTATAAAACTGCAGAGAACGGAGTGGAATGAAGGCGTGCTACGAAGAACATCAACGAAATCAATTGTGGGGCCAAGGGGAAAGACGTGTCTCGAAAGACTTGAACACCTAAACCTATTTACCCTGGGTTATCGCAGGAAAAGGGGGGACCTTATTATGGCATACAAGATCGCCCATCAAGCAGACCATGCAAACAAATCAATTTTGCCTGCAACTCACCGATCTTCACGAGGAAACCCCATTAAGATGGCACACCAGAGAGCCAACACCATACTCAGGTCCAATTTTTTCTCCCTGAGAGTATGCGCTTTATGGAATGCCTTACCGCGACATATCGTTATAACTCCCTCAGTCGACTCATTCAAGAGACGGTTAGACAGTTATGCCACCTTGCATGGCCTACCACGGACATACTCGGAGTCACCAACCTCAATAGCCCACCCTCACCTCTCTCCTACCTACCACTCATTATCTCGCTCCTTAATACACCCATATTACCTACTAATTCTTCTGTAGGAACTAAACCCACGCTAACATTCGCGCAATTCCCACATACTTTTCTTTCGTTCTTACTTCTCTTTTTTACCCCTCCTTTTCTTCTCCTCCCCTTTTCTCTTCCCTACATTATTATTTTCTTTCTTTCTTATTCTCTCTTCATTCTTTACCACTACCTTACTATTCTCCTTCAGGCACCTACACAGACAGGACTCACGACAGTTCCTTAACCATCCCAGCAACCCATAGCTCCCCAATCACTCTACAAATTACAACTTACTAACCCACAAAACATCCACCTCATCGAGGCTAAAAGCAAGAAAGCGGAGGGGATTTCCGCATCCACTGCAGGAGTGAACCAAACAACTCGAACCAAGCCCCAAGAACTAGACGCGAGAGATCAAAAACTATCAGTTTTCTACGCTCACAATATCAATATTGGATATTGGAACACCCATCCTCCGGTTGGGCTAATAAAAGCTACAGAAGGTGAGTGGGTACACCTACTGCATAAGAATCAACCAGAGACCTAGAAACATTCCACAAGACCTAGAATTGAGAGAGAATAAACCAACTGGTTTGCAGTAGCTGGTGAGAATATATTGGATATTCTGAATGACCTCCACGCAAACGCAATCACTAGCGCCATGCTCGGATCTTCTTGAGCCTGGGTGTTAAATAATTGACTGGTGCTATCTTGATATTGGTTCAACAGTACTAATATTTTCTGTTATGGATTCCTCAGATAATCCTTTTGCTTCACTAGTTAAGAATTCACCAGTTGGTAACGTATTTTCGAGATGGTCATAATGTTTCTGCATAGGATTAGAACCAGCAATCCTTGGGGCTTGTGAAACGGAAGTTACTAAAATCCTAGAAAACATACTGCTGGTTACACATGATAGAGGTATGTCGAGTTTGTTTTTTAGTTGATATTCATAGACCTGACTCTTGGCGAGTCTGGTAGACCCAGTCATCTACTATGTATGCAGACGTTTCACGATAGGAATATCCAAATATCCGTCGATACATTGGATGAACTTATTTTTGACCGCACACAAATTCAGGGTTTTAACGACTATGATGTTATTAGCCTGAGTTCAGGGGTCGCTACGGATTTAAGCGATGTCCTGGCCCCCAACCCAATGGTCTATCTGGTTTCTTCATTTCACCGCGCATGTTCACTGAAGCACAGTCCAGCAGTAAGTAAAGTTTTCGGAATTTAATGTTTTAATATATTAAACCGGGTCAAGTTGTTTTATTTTGTCTTGCCCATATGTTGCCTACACGCAACTGCATGTAGGGGTTGGTTTTCTGCCAAATGTTATAACAGGGTCATCCAAACACTAGTGGCATTGTAGTAGTTCAGCTGTCAACACATATTGTGCTTAGGACGTAGAAATGTGATTTGAAGATCCTATTTTTGGTGCACCACATACACAAACGTTGGGATTTTTCCTTCTGCTTTTAAAAGAACACTATTTATGTTGCCTTCAATGGATTCGAAAACCGTGTTGTGCTTGTCCAGAAAATGGTTCAGTTTCATAAAGCTTCATAGTTTTCGTTGAATTGTATGGGGTTCATCTTGTCCTCAGCTTGTGATATTTCTTACAACTTAGTTGGTTTGTCTGCATAAGCATTCAAGCTAATATTATCTGGGAATGTTGATTGACTGTATTCCCACCTTAGTCCAGCTGCAAAACAGACATTCCAAGTGCTTAAGGCGTCATAGTCTTGTGCAGGCATTGGGAATTTAACTGGGTGCATCATACACTCCTACACTATTGAATTTCAGGAATTGCTGATAATCTGACTTTAACATTTTCACATACTGCCTCTGGAAACTTATTAGCCAATAAATAAGGTGCTTAAAAGGCTTTTGAAAAAGTAAGTCATTGTCGTGGTGGATACCGAAGTAATCATTGCAGAATCAGCAAGCATCACAATCGAGTAAATCCATGCTGAAGTTTAACTGCAACATTAACAGCGAACAACAGAGCACCATAGGTAGTATGTGCCAATATCAGTGAAAAGTCTGTGTACCTACATTAAAGACCTCATGTTGATGGTATGGTGAATCCTGTTTAAAAATTATAATAACTAATCTTACGAGTACATTTGACTAGATATTGTAGCGAAGTTTGCCGACAAATGCTAAATATGAATGGATTAGCTTCTGTTGGTTCCTCATGACTCCCTGCATGAGATCTGAGAAATAATACGGTTCAGTGGCTTAGGAAAACAGCAGACGGCTGAGGATGAAAACCAGTGGGGATCATACTGCAACTTCCTTGATCCTTCCGTTACTGAAAAGATAAAAGTAATGAATGTCTCTTTAGTGATATCTCTGAGATTAGCTTTTCCAATACCCAATATTGATATTGTGAGCGTAGAAAACTGATAGTTTTTGATCTCTCGCGTCTAGTTCTTGGGGCTTGGTTCGAGTTGTTTGGTTCACTCCTGCAGTGGATGCGGAAATCCCCTCCGCTTTCTTGCTTTTAGCCTCGATGAGGTGGATGTTTTGTGGGTTAGTAAGTTGTAATTTGTAGAGTGATTGGGGAGCTATGGGTTGCTGGGATGGTTAAGGAACTGTCGTGAGTCCTGTCTGTGTAGGTGCCTGAAGGAGAATAGTAAGGTAGTGGTAAAGAATGAAGAGAGAATAAGAAAGAAAGAAAATAATAATGTAGGGAAGAGAAAAGGGGAGGAGAAGAAAAGGAGGGGTAAAAAAGAGAAGTAAGAACGAAAGAAAAGTATGTGGGAATTGCGCGAATGTTAGCGTGGGTTTAGTTCCTACAGAAGAATTAGTAGGTAATATGGGTGTATTAAGGAGCGAGATAATGAGTGGTAGGTAGGAGAGAGGTGAGGGTGGCTATTGAGGTTGGTGACTCCGAGTATGTCCGTGGTAGGCCATGCAAGGTGGCATAACTGTCTAACCGTCTCTTGAATGAGTCGACTGAGGGAGTTATAACGATATGTCGCGGTAAGGCATTCCATAAAGCGCATACTCTCAGGGAGAAAAAATTGGACCTGAGTATGGTGTTGGCTCTCTGGTGTGCCATCTTAATGGGGTTTCCTCATGAAGACCTTTAGATGCGGCCGCATGTAGGATTTGAAAACGGTGAGGGAGGGTCCGCGGGTGAGTGCGCCAAGCTGCCTACTCAGAAAGTGCAGAATGGCGATCGCTCTGGTTGTCATACCTTTGTAATTGGAGCTGGTGTTCAAAGTGTCGGATAAATTGGGCCTCAAATCTTTCTTCATGGATACTGGTGATAGCGCGGTTGCTCAACATGTACTGGAAGTCGGTCGTACTTGATTCATATTTACTGATGTGCATTACTTTGCACTTTCCAGGTTGAAACTCAGGCTATTTTCTGAAGACCAGAGTTCGAGTTTCTGCAAGTCCTTTTGTATTGTTGTACAGTCAGCTTCTTGGTTTACCCACCTCCATATTTTGATGTCGTCAGCGAAGAGGAGGATGACTGAGGATATTTTGTCCTGCAGATCGTTGACCGACAGGAGGAACAGAAGTGGTCCTAGGATTGCTCCTTGGGATACTCCCGACGTCGATGGTCTCCACTCCGACCTTATTCTGTTTACTGTGGTTCAGAACTGCTTCCCTTTCAGGTACTCCTTGAACAAGAGAGTAGGGGTTCACTTATACCAGCTGACATGATCTTGTGAAGTAGGACTGTGGGTGGGACACTGTCAGATGCTTTGGCTAAGTCAAAAAAAAACGACATGTACCGGTTCTCTGTTGTTCCAGTTGAGTTTCCAGTCGTTCAGACAGGAAGTTGGTGGCACATGAGCGACCACTCCGAAAACCATGCTCAGTAGTATGCACAGTGTTTTCCCTATTGAGGAATTCCCAGAGTGTCTGCTACCAGACTTTCCAACACTTTCGACACAATAGGTCGTAGAGCAATTGGCCTGTAGCTGCCAGGGCTTTTTCTGTCTCCTCCCTTGAAGACGGGTGATAAGATGGCGCTCTTCCATTCTTTAGGGAGTTTGCACGACTCTATTGAGTACTCAAGGAGGTTGCAGAGTGGCTTCGTAAGGACCTCGGCGCAGTTTTTTAGGATCACTGATTTTAGGTTATCGCAGCCAGGGGACTTGCCTGGACGTAGCCTAGATAGTTTCCCCAACATTTTTTTCTCTATGATTGAGATGTGGTAGAGGTATTTGTTATTTATGACCCGGTCGGTGTCGTAACGAGTCGGTGTGGATTTAGTGTCGGTACTAAGTTGGGATTGGAAGTGTGAGCTCAAAAGCTCGGCAATCTGTAGACTGCTTAGTACACTCCCATGATGACCTGTGATAAGATTCACTCCCCTGTTAGTCGACTTCCTTTTTGGGATTGCTTTGTAATCTCTCCACCAGGTTTGTTTGACAGGAGAATCTGTCGCTGCGCACTCTGTTACAGCGGTTGCAAATCCTTTTGTAGTTCAGAAAGTCAGATTCCATGCGTGATGAACGCCACTTGAACCAAACGTCCGGTTGTCGCTAGAGAAGGCCTCTTTGGCAGTGTTCAAGGACACACGTAAAGGGGGTGGCTTATCTCGGGGTGCCCGGCTTCCGCGAGGAAGGCGACACAGAGTTACAGGGAGAGGAGGGAGTCCCAGCATCTGACAGTAGTCGGTCTACATTCGGCCGTCAAACCGTTCTCTCTCTATCAACAATGAGTCTGTCGATACATAGACGTTGAACAAGATGATCGAGTTAGTTCTCCTGTGACTTGGGTTCGTTGTGGGTAGCACGCCTGACTTCCCAATGAGTTTGTTGTGTATTTTTACTGGTTGTTTCTCAGTCAGTGTGTGGGATGCTTGGGGTGGGTTTCGTAGAGAGTCTAGCAGTTGGTGTCTATAGCCATGCGCTAGGCGTTCTCTGAGGCCGGGTAGGAGGTACGGAGACTCCACCTAATGTGGTCCCCGCGCGTGGTGGCTTGTGCGCAGCTGGAGATCTAGTTCTGTTTCCAGGTCCCTCCGTGTTATCCTTAAATATAAACCCTACTTTATTCGAGGATGTTGGTAGTTTTTGCATGGCGGAGAGTATCTCTTTCAGGCTTTCCGTGTGGAGTGCGGGGAGCTTCCTGCACTCTGGACAAATGTACCAGAACCATTCGAATGGTTGTCTCTTTATCAGCTTATAGTGTTGTCAGGGTACTTTGGTGTCGCAGTGGCGGTGCGCCCAGCGGTGACATCGGTTGCATGCAAATGCCTCATCAACTTCCGAAACAACTTTAGTGCAAACACTGCAGCCATCGGGTGTCGTAATGCAGCCTTCTTTCCATGAAGAAAGTGCTACGGATTGTGGCGAACTGCTTGTGGCTGTCTTATTCTTAAGCCTTTTACGCCGTCTACTCTTTCCAGGTATCGTTTGATCCTTGCCCGAGGTAGGACTAGTTTGTGATGTGCTAGTGCTACTCTGTGTCACCTGTTTGATGGGGGCTGGAATTCTAGAAACATAAGTTGATCGCTTCTTGAGGATTTCGGTGTTCTGCCCTACCTCTGTTTGTCTGTGGGTGCAGACTAGAGTGTTGTTTTGGGTGTTATTGTCCCTTTTCGTGCACGACCGCGTTATCCGCGTCCAAGCTTTGGACCTAGCATTTTGAGTAGATACGTCACTATTACACAAACTTCTTGGGAAAACAAATATTTAACAGCAATAAGGAGGTTGAAGACTGAATGCAGTAAAAGGACAGAATATATAAAGGAAGACAATTTATGTTGGCTTGCCTTCAGACACTTGTCACTTGATCCTCTGCTCTTGACCAACGAGTTTAACCGTAAGCCTCAGATGTGTATGTAAAACCAGATGTTTCCTGGGGAATGACCTCCGAAGAGAACCGAGAGCTAAGGCAGTTGAAACACCCAAGAACCACTGATAGGAGGCAGATTGGTCGGTTCAAAGAGATAATAATGCCAATTTTCAACTGTTGAGAAGTGAGTTGATGAATACGCGGCGTTGAAGTGCGTGCAGGAATAGGAGTGCTGCAAACGTCGGATTTTTTTGGATTGAGTATTCCAAGTGAGAGTTTTTCAATGTAGAAAAATCCAAAAGCTGAGAGACGGGAGAAAACATGTCACTATCCAAGGAGCGTGATTCAGTAGCTTTGAACGAACTATTTTCTTCCTTTCTTTCCGTCTTTGTTTTGTCGCTTGATTATTTAGTATGACGCACCTCTTGGTGCACATGGAGCACCAAA